TGTTACCTCCCAGTGGCTGAAGATGAGCTGCGGGCTGGCCAGGCCGCTGGTCCGCTTGCGGATCTCGTCGGCGAAGCCGAAGCTCTCGGCCACAGGCAGTGCAGCCTTGATGATGAACATGTCCGTGCCCTCCTTCATCTCCTCCTGCAGCACGCGGCCCTCCCTCTTGGACAGGACGGCGTAGACCCGGCCTGCAACACCAAGTCTCTTAGCCCCACGAGCCCCGCGAGGCAGTGCTGCCTCACGGGCCCGGGGACAGTCCACGAGCGAACTGAGGTCTGTTCCCCATCATGGTGGTTTCCGCCCCGGCTGGTGTGGCTCAGTGGATGGAACGGCGGCCTGGGGACTGAAGGGTCCCAGGTTCGATTCCGGTCAAGGGCATGTACCTGGGTTGCGCGCACTTCCCCAGTAGGGGACGTGCAGGAGGCAACTGATCGATGTTTCTCTCTCATCGATGTTTCTTCTCTATCCCTCTCCCTTCCTCTCTGAAATCAATAAAATATATAGTAAAAGTAATAACAGTAATAATGTTGGTTTCCAAAAGCATGGATGCTTTATAAGTGTTTATTTAAAAAGCAAAGCATGCCGAAACCGGTTTGGCTCAGTGGATAGAGCGTCGGCCTGCGGACTGAAAGGTCCCAGGTTCGATTCCGGTCAAGGGCATGTACCTGGGTTGCGCGCACTTCCCCAGTGGGGGATGTGCAGGAGGCAGCTGATCGATGTTTCTCTCTCATCGATGTTTCTAACTCTCTATCTCTCTCCTTTCCTCTCTGTAAGAAATCAATAAAATATATTTAAAAAAAAAAATAAAAAGCAAAGCATGACCCGGCCGGTGTGGCTCAGTGGTTAAGCATAGACCTAGAAACCAGGAGGTCAGTGGTTCGATTCCCAGGCAGGGCACATGCCCGGGTTGCGGGCTCCATCCCTAGTGTGGGGCGTGCAGGAGGCAGCCGGTCCATGATTCTCTATCATCATGGATGTTTCTCTCTCTCTCCCTCTCCCTTCCTCTCTGAAATCAGTAAAAATCTTTTTAAAAAAAGAGAGAATAAAATGAAACAGCTCTTGCGATGGGCCTTCCTCAGGTCCAGGCTCAGCTTAAGAACAAACTAAAAATCCCACAGGCCGCCTGGCCACACCCCCTCCCTCGCAGCCCCGCCCTCCCACCTGGGCAGCTCCCCACTTCCTCAGTGTGTGCTCTCACTCCACAGGCGCCCGGCTGTTAAAGCTGCGGAAACTCCACCACCATCTCCCCATTCCTGGCCCAATGCCCTCCCTTAGCCCGCATTCTCCTGCCTCGCCTGTGGTTTCGGGAGCTCCTGATCACCTCTTCCGACAACGCTCCAGATGTAGCCCCTTCCCAGGCCCCTGCCCTGGCCAGCACTCTCCCCTCTACTCCAGTGATTCTTTTGTTTGTTTTAATATATATATATTTTCTTATTTCAGAGAGGAAGGGAGAGAGAGAAACATCCATGATGAGAGAGAATCATGGATCAGCAGCCTCCTGCACGCCCCCCACTGGGGATGGAGCCCCCAACCCGGGCCTGTGCCCTGACCGGGAATCGAACCCTGACCTCCTGGTTCCTAGGTCGACACTCAGCCACTGAGCCGCACCGGCCGAGCTAAGAAAAGTTTTAAGGTGGCTGATTAAATACAACAGTGTGTTGTGTGTGAGTGTGTGTGCGTGTGTGTGGACATCAGTGCGTGTGTGTGTGGACATCAGTACGTGTGAGTGTGTGGATATCAGTGTGTGTGTGTGTGAGTGTGTGTGTGTGTATGAGTGTGTGTACTCTCACAGAACATCATTTAAACATTCAGGCTGCACTAACTCACATATGAGCATAAATACCAAAATCTTTAAAATATTTTAGCAAATTCCAGCAATGTGTTAATATGATAATGCGTTTTGATCAAATATTTCAGAAAGAATAGGTTGACTCAATGTTAGGAAACAAATTAATCCATATCTATACTAGTAAAAGCCTAAGCAACCAAATGACCAGTTGACCAGTTGCTATGATGCGCACTGACCACCAGGGGACAGATGCTCAATGCGGGAGCTGCCCCCTGGTGGTCAGTGCGCCCTCACAGCCAACCTCCCACAGTCCTCGCCCCGGCCAGCTGGCCACCCCGATCAGCCCCGATCACCGGCCAGGCCGAGGGACCCCACCCGTGCCTGAATTCATGCACCGGGCCTCTAGTCTATTATAAAAGAGATTGGAAAAGTGCTA